GTGAGACCCCTTTCTCTCCGACTAAGGTCTTGTCTCCGAAGGGGAATATCTGGAGATCCCTTTCCAGAGCACAGACATGGACTACCTGTCTATACCGGTGCTCATCGTATTCACTGCCAAACAGTATGTTATTTCTGACGCTATTATTGAAACTCCAGGGCTCTTGTGAGGCATAGCTAATAGTGCCCACCGTTTGTATGGTCCCCTCGAGCGCCGGTAGTTCTTTTAAAATTGTCATCAAAAATGAACTCTTTATGAAATATCATTAAAACAATTATTACTAAAAGGTATTTATAGTTTGCAAATCAAACATACCTTTCCAGCGCCTACCGGTCCAATAACTGCTAACAAGTCTCCGGATCTTAAATGTACGGATATATTCTGAAGGGTTGGATACGGACTGTCCTGTCATATGGTATGAAAAGTATTTAATATTTATTTTGAAACCTATTCATTCATTTCATACTTCACTCCATTTGGCGCTAATATTATTGATCGACAGTTCAGGCGTTTGTTTGCCTGAAGTATTCAACCGTACATTTGTAGCATTAATTGCTTTCAAATCCATTTCCTCCAACTCCAGGAAAGTCTATCCAGAAAAGTATTTTAATAACATTAATCATTTAAACACGGACACTTAAACAGCTTTACAAATATTAGCGTACCAAATTAGAATTTTAAATTTACATATAATTTTAGGGTAATATAAAACTAATTATCAATTTACTTGTATCCGGCCGCACGACACCAGTAGCTCAGCGCCCAGTGCAATGGCCTGTGGGAATAGCCAGGTCATTGTGATACGCAGGGTATTAAACAGGGCCATTGTGACGAACACGGCTTTGGCGGTCAATAGGTTCCCGGTCAACACGTATGTTATAAAACACGCGAACAGTATTATACGGGAGGCCACAAAAAATACTGACAAATTGATAGCTTTTAGAAAACATGCTCTCCGTATGCGGTGTACCTCGCTCCTATTAGCAACAAGTCATTAATCATTTCTTAATACATAAATATTACATTTCATATATTTAGTTATTATTAACAAAATTATTAATAATATTTATATCATTATGATCAAGTTTATCTATCAAACCATTTACCAGGTATTAATTAAGGTGACATAAAAACAGTTAATATAATAAAGATTACTTTGAATTACTTTATCAACTCTACTGCAAAGTGTATTGAGTTTTTAAAAACTATTATAAACTTTAAAAGGTTATTACGTATTGCTATAATACAATATTATCATCAGGGACATACTTTCTAGCGGTGTCCACCAGTTCGGCAAATGACTGCTCCCAGGCATACATTTTGATGACTCGCATCCCCGATATAATCTCATTCATAAGCCGCAGTCGACTGTCCGTTAACTGAGCGGTCATTAGCCTATAATATCAGCACAAAAAACTAATTACTATATCAAATGTATAAGCAATGTCAATTATCGACAATTATACCTGACTTTCGAGAAAAGTTTGCCCATAAACGCCTGAAACGGTATAAACAGCAGCAATAGGGCCACACCTACGAAGCAATAGTAACTCAACTCGGTATACATGATATACACGGTTATTGCCGTTTGTATGGGCGCTATGAAGAAATAGCTGACAAATATGGAAAACTATACACAAAAATCATTTACAAATCATTAGTTCGTATACTACTAGCCTCGCAAATATAGCCCATACCTCATCGAAACGGTTGACATCATTGGACATTAGGTTCACAATCTGGCCCACCGTGGTCTTGCCCAGGGATGCCCGGCTCAGTTTAAGCGACTATGAATTAACAACAAACATATATTAATACCAAGATACAAACAGATCCACAAAATATTATACCTTTTTATACATGAGAGTACAGGAGGAGGCGCGTAATCTCATACCCATTTGCATGACTAGCACCAGGGTCGGGTGGTGTAGCGATACGAACAGGGCTGAACAAAAACACACACCACCGGCTGCTAGACATGCCTGTTCGTAGGTGCGATTTTCTGTCTTGCTGAAATAGTCAATCACGAAACCGAGTAGTAGGGGCTGACCTATACGTATCACACATTCCTAGTTACCATCAAAAGGTTTTTAAAATATATATAGTAAATATAAAAACTTCTATTGATTAAGATGATATTTAATAATTATAAAATAGTAGGCTTACCTCGAATATAAATATGGACAGGGGCAGTATATAGTATTTTCCGTATGTCATGAATAAGGCCCTCCAGAATTTGGGCGACTTTTTTTTGCGCTCGTTATTCCAGTGCCTGAAATGTAATCACAATTTAGTATTTTCTGTAACCATCCCTTCCCTCCTCCCCTCCCACTCCGGTTAATAGACTCCATGAGCCCACACATACTTTTCCAGTTTCTGGACAATCCGTTGAGACTCGTCGTGTCGGGAGCACCGGAACAGGTCGTCCACATCGAGACCATCCTTACGCATACCCGTCATAAACACCGGGAATACCCATCTGTTTGTAAATTCAAATACATTTTCATTTATAATAATTATATTCTTTTAACTCAATTAAGTGTTTGTTTGTAATAATTATAGTAATTGCGATTAGGATTCATATTCAGTTTTTAGCAACAATTATAATACTGTATAACATTTTACGAGTTTTCAAATTTATTGTCAAATTTATATTTTGTATAAATTTTATTCATATGTATAAAATGTTTTTCAAGTTTATAATCTAAAGGTAAATAACAGATAATTTCCAATAATTAACAGTCCAATAATCCAATCATAATTTACAGTGAACAAATTTTAGCCTGCTATTTAAAAAGCAATATTCTGCACCTAAAATCGCGAAATAAAATCTCATATTTGAGTACAGAATTGAAATAAAAATTTACATTTTGCACTGAAATGTCCTCAAACTTTCAACACATGGCGGAAATGCATACAAAGAATTGCTTATTTAAGAAACCATAATATTTACCAAACTTTTTATCAGGCATATGTTTTGCACTGATACATTCATACATTCACAACACTTCTTTGAATGAACCCAAACTCAACTCAATAATAAGCGACTAATTGATAGGCAATTGACTGTTATTTGCTATTAAATTGTAATTCGTGTTAACATTAGAGCAAACATTTTATATCTTAATTACATTATTTATTTGCCTTACAATATTAGACTTAAAATATTATTTGTTTATCTAATATATGAGGACATTTATTTTGAGTTCATTATGTGTTTCATTTTAGCAATTATTGCCTTTTTGTTTAATAAACATTTGTTTATACGATATATTAATTAGGGTTTTAATACATATTAAATAAAGTAAAATAATTTAAAACCAACATTGAATTTCTCACC